TCTACTCTGGGCGGCTTACAACAAAATATCATAAAGACGGTTAAAGCGCTAGACTGCGTCTACTCTGGGCGGCTTACAAAAAAATATCATAAAGACAGTTAAAGCAACAATTTAAATCAATAATATTAGTATTCATTCAAGACGGGGAAAGTGTAGAGCAAAATTAAAACAGAAAAATGAAAATCAAGCATTGACAGGAGGGAAGACCTGCCTAAAGAGCCAGGTCTTTAGTTGGCGCTTAAAAACACCCAGTGAGGGATTTATAACTGTTGTTATAAAGCAAAGAAGTGTGGATGCAGAAGGCATCGTGATCCTTCAGCCCAAACCCAGCCCTGCAGCTCAAGTTACTTTCCTGAAGTAGGACTCCCATGTTGGACATCCCGGGCTGAAGATTCTGGGATATGACATCCAGAAAGCACATCTTTCCAATTTCTGTCTCAGACAGATCCTTTTCATGTGTTTTGTTGCTGTTGTTCGGCTTGGTCCCTGCTGGAGGTTTGCAATCCTCAAGAGTTCAAACCCTTCACCCTTCTGTGAAGGGAAGGAAATGATAGCAGGGGAACCCCGAAGGACTCTCTCGATGAGCCTTCAAAACGTTTCGTTTGTCTGGGGAGAGAAACCTTGTAGGTGCAGAAAACGTCTTTGCTGCCTGAACCATGAAGGGCAGGCCATGCTAAATATTATCTTAAATACCCTTCTGTTGTCTCTAGAGGGAGATGCATGGCTAGCTGACCTTTTTCTCTGGTTGCTTGACTGTGTTTTCTGATCATCCTTCCTCACTATTCAGGGACAGGGAGGAGGTGAAGGCAGGCAGGAGCTCAAGAAAACAGAGGCACCGTAGGCAGAAAGGCTTTGGTTCCTTTTGAGCAAAGCATGAAAAACAACGACATTTGTTCTCTTCTTGACACAATTTGTACCAGGGCAATATAGAGTTTGCTGTTCCACTGAATCTTGCGCCTGCCCCCCACCCCCAAACCTGTGATCTTTCCACAGAGAGAATGAAAGAAGCATTTCAGACACGGCTTGGAGCCGATGGGCCAGAGGGGTGGCGCAAGAAAAGAGGGAGTGTGGAACAAGAGAGAGAAAAGCAGGATATTGTGTCCGCACTAGAATCTGGAGATCGGCTGAGATTATTCCCAAGAACCTTCTCCCCATACTGTGCGATTCAAGACGGGGCTTGAAAGCTTCAGATTCAGCCTTGATGAAGCAATTCACCCAACAAGTTTCAAAAGCCAAAGGATACACCATGTGGAATGTCTAAATGGTAAATTAGCCAGTCTAAATAATCCTGTTAGCAGAAGGCTTTATATTTGGGAGGGGGTGCACTGGTACTCCCCTTTTTATTTTCAGAGGCATCTTAAAGCTTTTGAGGGGATTATTGTCTCCATACAGAGAGGTTTATGGACATGTCATACGTCTGTATTTTCCAAAGGCAGCGTGGAACTAATGCTGTTAACAGCAGGTTAGCCCATCTAAACCGAGGGCAGGAATACCGACCAGCCTCTTCTATCTTGCAGGTCAGCGACCTTTAACATGGGTTGGTCCGACAAAATAGAGCGTTGAAATACCAAATGCATGGGTGCATATTTCATTACCGTTCAGCTTTGCATGACGACGACAAAGCGCCACAAACGAAGAAGAGGGAAATGTTGGTTTTGTTCAATTTCTCCGTTGCTGTCATTGTTTCACAGTTATGTGGGGCAGAGCAGGTTTCGCTACTGAGTTTTACTGCAAGTTATTATTTGATAGCACAATTCTAATGCAAAAAAAAAAACACATACTGACCAGGAGGGGTGAGATTTGAAGTGCTCTTCTGCCAGCAGAACTCTTTTCTGCTGCCTGATATTTGGGACCAGTTGAAAGGTGATCTGCTGAAGAATTGTTTTAGGGGCTAAGGGTTGCAGGGAGAAACTTCAAAGCAGGAGAGAGAAGGGGGGAATGGGGAACCCCATCCATCCATATCTAAGCCTTCTCTGGCCCCAAAAGACAGCCATGGTGATGGGACAAAGTTAGGGCAGGCAGGCATCGTTCCAAGTCATTTAAACATCGTTAGAGAACGGTTGGGAAACACAACTGTCGGCCAGTTTGGACTGTACTCATAATGAGCTTAACATCAGCAACCAGCAGACGAGCGGAGCAACATTTTCAACATTGCCACGAATGGGTGCAATAAATGACCTTCCTGGAAGTCACTCTTTGACATGCACCTATTTAGTTCATCATCCATTTAAAAAATTACAAGAAGGCAGTTCTCAACTCTAGGGAGTTGGAATGGGCAGGAGACGGCATGATATCGTCTTTGAGTTACCCTAATGTTTGGGTTCAGCAAGAGTGGTGCAACTCCGGACCAGGAAATACGGAAGCAGAATCATCTCTCTTTTCATTACTTCATGCCATGTTTCAGCATTCTGATGCCTGAGTGAGGAAAGTGTGTCAGGAGGAGGAACATGCTAAACTTACTCTCTTCCATCACCCTCTCTCTTCCTCTCTCCATGCGGAGGGGTGGCGCTCTGAAGATAAGAGCTTTCTCTAGGCTCCCCGCTTCATACCCTTGTCCTCCCACATGTAGCTGGTGATTAATATGCTGACAGTCAGGGTGCAACACCCTCCCTCCTCATGTGCTTATCTGATTCAGGCTCCTTGGATACAGCTACAATGGCCTCAAGTCACAGAAAGAGGCTGATGGATGCCAACAGATGCTGGCTTCCTGAGCAGTATGGGATGCTAACTCCCATAAGCCTCAACCAGTGTGGCCTAAGAATGAACGTTCTTCTTTTAGCAACGTACACATTTTTTTTCCAAGTCAAAGTTCATTCTGCTCTGTTTCCACATTAGTTGGTGATTTTTGAAGTTCACATAAAACTTGGTACCTACTCTTCTGTGCAACTGGCCAGCAAACCAGTCTACGAGGATGGAGGAACCTATAATTCAAAGCATTAAGACAACACCAGATTTGGAAAAGTTACTCTACATTTTCCTTTTTTCCTTAGTCCCTGGTTAGCGCATAAGAAGAGCCGTGCTGGATCAGGCCTATGATGTCCAGCAGGCCTGTAACACAGCAGTCCACCAGATGTCTCAGAGAAGGGGGAAACCCACAAACCAGGCCTGCACATGACTTTAATGATAGCCATTGAAAGTCTTATGTTTCTTCCCCCTCACAAACACAGCTTAAGCAGATTATACACCCCAAGTAGGGATCAAGATCCTACTATTAGGATGTGCTTACTTCAGATTTCTGGAAATCCCAAGAGAGGCTGATGATCAAATGCTCCTTCTTTAGCAGAGCTTGCATTCCAAATATTCTGAGAAGATGGTTGGAAATCTCTGGGTCCCACTCTCTCCACACACCCTGGACAATCCTGCTTTCAAGAGTTCCACACGGACTTATCGCTTTGATTGAACCACCTGAAATAGACTTAACGTTTCCTCTTATTTCATTCTTTGGTCCTCGTTTTGAAAAGTAAGCTTTCATCTCAAAGGGAACGATGCTTAAACACCTTCAGGGAGATTTTCAAGACTCCAGGAGCGAAGTAGGACAGGTTTCCTTCCACACCAGAAATACGAAATGGTGATATCTCTGTTGCCGATGCATACGCTCACAGTCAGGTGTAGGATCATGCTAGATCTGCTTCCATTCCATCTGCAATGGAAGCAGATCTAGCAGGAAGGGGACTGCCTAAAATAACATTGTGATAATAAAAATAATTACAATGTGGACTTTCATACTGAGCATCAGCAATTAGGAAATCTTTAAAAATCCACGTCAGTAGCTGTTACAGAAATCTCACACACTTTGTTTTCCCCATGGACTTGCTTTCCACACCTTGTGGACACACCTGCAATTTCAAACTAAGTTCACACAGAAGAATATATTTTAATTACTTATTTAAAATATGTGTACTCCATCTTTCTCTTTAAAAAGGAACCAAGACAGCTTACTTCATTAAAAGATGGTATTTAAAACCACATGTATAAAGCCGCACAGAAATATAATGCATTTGATTAGTAAAACCCATGCACAAGCTCTCTTGGGTATCCTGGCTTGTATCTCTGCTAAAAAGTTGAGGAAAATATCCTGGTGCCTGCTTAAATCATTGGCATTCCCATCTCAAGAGCACTGCTACAAGTACTAAGCTGTTTAGCAGCACCATCTTGTGGCAACAGCAAAACACAACAGGAAAACACAGACGCAAAATGAATCTCGTGCAACATGGTCAGAAGCAGCACAAAAACCTCACCTGCAGATAAACCTGTAAAAACTTTTCAGAACATAGGAAGAGGTGTGGCTTCTCTTAGAGCAGAGAGAGAGAGAGAGAGAGAGAGAGAGAAGCCACTTATTCATAGGATCTGCACACTGTTTACAGGAACTACACGGTGCTCAAAATGGCTGCAGGACCAAATTAAGCAATTGAGACCCAAAATTAGTCACAGACACAAGCAAACTACGCCCAGTAAATTTTAGCAGAATTTCTGTGCAGGCAAGACAGGTTCTCTGTTTCCAGGAACAGCTGTCAAATATTGGCTTCTCCCTGTTTGTATCTATAACGAACCTACCTGTGTCTTTTAAAGATAAACCTGCTGAATACACACAAGCAAACAAAGCACAAATCTTTAACCCAGATCAATATTGTTATAGATTTCTATGGGGGGGAGCCTTAACACACACACACACACACACACACACACTCACACACACACACACAAAAGAGCATCAAAATAACCAAATGTTTGTCTCTCGCTAAATGTGAATAAGTTGATTTTTGTTGTTACTAGTTCCAGAATGCTCCCAAAAGTTCAGCCAATGGCTCTGTTAGATAGGGAGAGGAGCGATATGACAAACGGTCCACTCATTGTACTCCATAATTCTAGGGCCACTACAGAGAAGGCCCTGATCTTCACAGGTGAAATCTACCCACAAAAGATAGGAAGCCGACAGTGCAGGGCAATACATATACACCACGCTGCTTGTAGTAATAATTGTAATTGTAAGGACACTGGGATGATAACAACAATTTACTTCAGTTATTTGAAAAGTGCTGGACAGTCCTATTTCGACATCTCCGCAATGCACGGAACATGCAAAGTGCTTCATGTAAATTAATCCGTATGACGGCCAAGCAATGTAGGACATGGAGATGATGCCCACCTTGCAGTCACAAAGCTTAGAGAATTGTGGGGCACCCAAGTCCATGACTAAGGGAAGATTTTGATGCTCAAAGCTTATTATGCCACATCACACCTTGTCCTTATTTTGACTTTGCCATGCCTAAATCTCAGGGCATTGCTTTGAAGTGCTTCGGAGCTTCAGGGGCTTCTCCAGAACTCTGTCTTTTTTTCACTCTCGGATCTTGCTGCACATTGGCAGTACCCTGGATGTCACGTTCTTCCCAATGAGGGTCTGGGTTGACCGTCTCTTCTGGCCCATGGCTGAATTCTTTTGCCTCATCTTCTGAAGTCTTCTTGTTACGAAGATGACCAGATCTCTGAAATCAAACAGAAGCAAAGATGTATGTTACGGAGATTGTAAACCAAGGCTGTTTAACGGATTCAGCTAAATCCCAAATTGAACTGGACAGATTTGGACTGACCTGGATCAATCATAAATCCAGATTGTGAACTGGAGTTTTAATTACAATAGTTCTTAATCACCCTTTAGCAGATATCCTTAGCTTGTCAGTCATATATATCATTGGCTGCATCTTAAGACACCAGCTCCGAGAGCAGGCAGCTAACCTCCCCTGTTCAAATCTCCAGCTCAAATAATCAGGATCACCATGGTTATGGGAGATAAAATTATAAAGTAACCACTTCATCAGCGCACCTGATTCATCTTCCCTTCATCTGATTGCCCGGGTTCATCATCTTGAAATTTCTCTATATGACTGCTCAAGCCCACCTCTGGAGTGGCATAATGCATGATGATGATGATGATGATGATGATGAAGGAGAAGGAGAAGGATGAAAGAATGCCATCAGCTCTTCCACTGCAATGGGTATTTTATCCTATTAAAAACGAGACATCACAAGTTCCCTGCAATTACAATTAAACCCCCTCGCCCAATTCTGATGCCCATTTTCAAATGCAGAGAAGAGCAGGCAACTTCACACTTATATGAGCATACTCTATGCCCCTCAACGTGTATTTATTTATTTATTTATTTATTTGTTTGTTTGTTTGTTTGTTTGTTTGTTTGTTTATTTATACCCCGCCTATCTAGTCAATTGTGACCACTCTAGGCGGCTTACAGCATACAATTAAAAAATAAACATATAACAAACCTCATCACAAATAATAATTTACATAAATTAAAAGATAGAATAAAAATTTTTCCCAAAGATGGCGAGAAACAGGATATATTATAACAGAAAAAGAATAATTAGGTATTAGGTGGAAAGGGGGAAGGCCTGCCTGAACATCCATGTTTTCAGTTGTTTCTTGAAAATACCCAGCGAGAATGGGTACCATGGAAGAATTGTTCTTAGCTGCCAGAAATGCTCTTGATGTTGCCTGTTGTTGGGTGAACATTATCTGATACCTTTATAAAGTGTACTATGGTGATTCTGACACAAAGAAAGGAAGATTCTGGTAGAAAGGTTCCATAGCACTGGCTGAGCCATTTGCCATTAGATTGCCATAAGAAACAATGTTGAAGTATAGATTAGTGTAGAGCCATAATACATTATTTGGGCCACATGGGCTGATGGTGCATATCCCTCAGTTGGCAGGTTATGCTGGAACAAAGGAAGGAATAGCTTGGTTATGGGTGGAAAAAAAGCTGCCCTTTAATAAAAACGACTAGCCCCATACTTGACTCCAATCCTAGCTGTGGTGGGTTGCTGAAAAGCAGCAGCCAAGGGACCTGCTACCACAAAAGGTATAAGGGTCAATCTCCTGTTGGTCTTTCTCAGAGATATGCTGGCTGGAGGCTTCTGGGATTGTTAAAAAGAAAAAAAAAAACTTTTCCAAGCTCTCCCTGTAGTTTAAGCAGTGCACGTTGTACAAGTTAAGAACCATACCAGACCTTGACACCATCCACCCAATTAGAGAAAATAAGAACATGTAGTTTGTATGTTGTGGTGTGTTTGTTTGTTTGTTTTAAGCATATATAGCACAGATGTGGAACTCAGTCAAGATTGTGGGAATGATGTCACACCTAACACAGCTCTTACATCTACCGATACATCTCTGGGTCTAACATCTGCACATCTGACATCAAGAAAAGTCTCACAGAAACAATGAAAGAGTTGGAAATTAGAAATCAGAATCCAAGGTTGGATCAGGCAAAGGGCCATGCAAAGACTGCAGCTGGGGAGACTCTTGATCATGTGTGCGATGGGCAAACCAATGACAAGACTAAGAAAAGAGAGGAATATTCAGATTTTATAGAACAGGAAGGAGCTCCAACTTCAGAAGACCCAGCGCACCACTTCAATACTACCAAAAAGCCAGTTTTCCTCTCAAGCTGAACAGGCATGAAGTTCAACTCACTTTACTCACTTTTTGGACGGCTTTGGTCCAGCTGGATCTTTAGCCAGATATTAACACGCTGATTCCAGTCCCCTGGTGCTTCCACTTCCCAGAGTCGAGACTGTTCTTCTGGATAGGTCTCCAAGAACTTTTGACAAACTGAACGGAAAAAGTAAGTCGTGCAAGCACAAAAGAATCCAAAAACTTTGAAGTTGCAACCAAGAACGCCTGTCAGGTCAGAAAGTCTGACACTCGTACATCTTCCTAATAGCCCAATAGAACTTTATAGCCCTCTAGGAAAAATCAGAAGCCTGTGTTTGTCATGGCTGGCATTTATCCCTGAAAGAGTTAATTCCAGTGTGAACCAGATAAATATCATGCACCTTGTATAGTTTACTCTGCTTTTGAATTGTGGTGCTGGAGGAAACTCTTGAGAGTCCCCTGGACTGCAAGGAGAACAAACCTATCAATACTTTGGCAATCTCATGAAAAGAGAAGACTCCCTGGAAAAGACCCTGATGCTGGGAAAGTGTGAAGGCAAGAGGAGAAGGGGACAACAGAGGACGAGATGGCTGGACAGGGTCATCGAAGCGACCAACATGAATTTGACCGAACTCTGGGAGGCAGTGGAAGACAGGAGGGCCTGGCGTGCTCTGGTCCTTGGGATCACGAAGAGTCAGACATGACTTAACAACTAAATAACAACAATATGACTTAACAACTAAATAACAACAATTCAGAGTCCTCTAAATAGACTCTAGATTGCTTGTTCCATAGAAGAATTGAATGTCCAGAACAATCTCTATTTTTTTTCTTCTTTTACTGAAATACATTTAGAATCACTATTATTCATTGACACTAGAGTTCTATTTCTCAATCCAGCCACCTTCTGAAAGGCTGGGATCTCTATTTGTATCTTTTATCCAAATGAGCGAAAGTGGCAATTATCGGGCAAAACAAAGTGGGAGGATCTATATACTATTTTTTGTAGGAGAAGCTTGCTTACTAAATTGGAACTGTCCTTGTTTTAATTTTTTTTAAAAAAAAAAAAGAGAGTTGGTGGGAGAGATTTCTGGGGGGCTGCAAATGTGTGTGCTTCTATCTCATCTCCAGGGCCCACAGATATCTGGGAATGGCAGCCTGGATATTGCCTCCCGTGTCAATAAGATATCTCACCCCAAAATGTACTATCCATGATTCAATGGGACAGAAAAACATGGGCAGCAATACTCATGCAAAAAATGATATGCTATTTGTTGCCGTGAAGCAGAAAATGAACTTCAAACATTTCAGAACTAAGTTCCGCTTTTATATCAACAAGTCCAGTCCCAGTAAGCTGATCATACTCTATCTGAAACAGCGCTAATTTTTAGTCCGTTACTGGATACAAATCTAAGACTGATCAATGATTCCTTAATGGTTTGTGTGGAATATCTGATGCAAAGTTGCTCTTGAAGATTGTTAGACTACAGTGGATGTGTCAAACAGTTTTTCAGAAAAGTTAAATAATACCGGTAATTATGCTAAAACATCTCAACTTTGAACTGACGTCTGTAGTTCAAGTAAATTAAGTCTGTCTTTTCTTTGGATAAGAATAAGAGCAAAGGCTGGTCAGGAGATGGCAGTAACCACCATGCGGCCGAGTAAGTAAGACAGACAAATCCATAGCACAGACTTGCCCTCTTCTGGAGACTGTATCAGGATTGAAAGGAGAAAGTCTCCTACTCGTTTATGCAACAGGCCCCTTACACAATAATGAGAGCTTTTTATTTTATTTATATTCAGAGTATTTGTAGCAGCTTGGGAGAATGTGATATGACGTCTGGAATGTCTAAAGTTTCTTGCATAACTATTTGTTCTGTAACAATGCTTGGAAATCGGCAAAGAACCCTGTCAAAAACAGCTGATTTATGTCTTCCGTTCAACACCGAGGGTTTGGTGGTATTTGCTATTATTTTACCACAGTGTCTAGAATCTTTCTTTTTTTAAAAAAGAAATGAATGGTTTGCCTGAGAAGACACTGCACAGCTGTTTATAATAAGAAGTCACTTAATAAGCCTGGCCTCCTATCAACCCAGTTTTTAAGGGGACAAATTAAGGAAAAAATTCTGAAAATTTTATTGAGTTTGTGTTAACCAAAGGGAAGGGTGATGTCCCTCTGCAAGAGTCAGTGTATTTTTTAAGGGGAATGGGGCTTCATAAATGGAGGGAAAATTGATTATACTCAATGGTCGTGGGTGGGTCCATCCATAGTATTTTTGTTTAATAAACATTTTTAAAAATTAAAATGAAAGGTTCTACTGCCTCTATTAAAGGTACAGACCAATAATGTGTCCTTTTGTTGTTGTTTGTTCCTGGTGTATATATGG